CATTACCTACGGATTTTATTCGTAGATAATAAGCGTTTTTTTTGTAGTGTTCATCAAAGTATTTCTTCCTTTATCAATTTCATCTTCTTTGTTTCTTTTAAACTTCATGGTAGTACCGTTGACTCTTTGATGAAAATTGGAAACAGTTTCTTCATCTACATCTTTATTTTCCTCCTTAACATCAAGTTCCTTTACGAAATATTCTTCATGTTTTTTCTTTGACTTTTCTTTTATATCCTTGTTTCTAATCACTCTTCTTTCATCAAGTCTAAAGTGAAACTTTTTCCTTTCACGTGAACTTTGAATATTTCCAAGTTATTATTGTATCTTTAATCACACAAAGTTTGTATTCAAAAGACACCTTATAATTTTTCTCCAATAATTGAGAAACACTTAACAAATTATGATTAATATCAGGAACATATAAAACATCAAAAATTAATTTCATACTCGAATGACTTTTAACTACAAATATTCTCGTACCTTTCATATCCATTTGTTCTCCATTACCAATTCTCACTTTAGAAATATGTGATTCGTTGAGTTCTTTGAAAAATTCTCGATCATAAGTCATGTGGTTTGTACAACCACTATCTATAAGCCAACCTGTGGATTTGTTGATTGTAGAGCATATTGACGTAAGAAGAAGTTCCCTTACTACTCCATTCTCCATAACCTTGATGACTTCTTCTAATTGTGATTTGCATATCTTTTCTATATGTCCCAATTGACAACATTTGCAACATTTCACATTAGGCTTCCACCAACATTTTTTGGGTCTGTGATTATTTTCCTTACAATAAGGACATATATAAAAGACTTGTGATTTGGTACCCTTGTTGCTCTTATCTTGAAAAAAAACCTTCACCATTATATAGTAAAGAACTTTTATCAGCAGCATGATCTTCTCTCATCAATCTTCGTTGCTCCTGTGCTTGTAAAGCATATAACACTTCTACCAAAATAATATTAGACAAATCCTTTGTGTTTTCTAATGAAGTAATAAATGTTTCATATCTCTTTGGCACAGTTACCAAAATTTTCTCAACTATTCTGGAATCAGGAAATTTCTTGCCTAACAATTTTATTTTGTTAGCAATATCCAATAATTTGTTTGAGTATTCATTAATAGTCTTAGACTCTTGCATCTTTTGTATATCAAATTCCCTTATCAAGTTTAGAACTTTCATACCTCGAATTTTCTCATCCCCTTCATATTGATCTTTCAAATAATCCCAAATTTCTTTGGGTGACTTTAGCGTCATGATTCTGGTGAGGATCATTTGTGAAACACCAGCAAATAGACATGATTTAACTTTTGCCTTCTTCGTTTTTCTTTCTCTGTGAAATTTCATTTGAGCTATGGTGGGATTTTCAGGTAGCGGATTAACAATATAATCTTTTTCCACAGCTTCCCATATAGCAAATCCTTCAAGATAGGATTACATTCTCACAACCCTTAAGTCATAACTTTCGCCATAAAAAATTGGAATAGCGACTTGTGAAAAGTTTTTTTCTCCTTCCATTGTATTAAACCAAAACTCTGATACCACTGATTGGAATTTTTAGAGTTTTGTGTACATGTATTTCTAATATATCATGTGTGTATGTTTTTATTCATGTACTCTATGTATATATAGAGTAAAAATATTACAAAATATCAAATATTAATAATATCTCAATCATAACTGCCTAAATCAAATTAATAACATAATAATTTTCTAACTTCTTTCTTAAAAGATAATAAAATCTTTTAATACCTAATTTAAATAAAAGATAATAAAGTAATATTCTCAACAATTTCCTTTATCAATTCATGTTTTATCCTTGGTAATGGGTTAGATTTACGTTTACGCAATTTACTTTCTTTGCACATTTACTTTTTACTTTCTTTACACATTTATCTTTTGTTGCACATTTATTTTCTAGCAATTTACTTTTATTATATCTTTACTATTCTCGCAATTTACTTAATGTTACAAAATATATTAAACATTTAAATTTTATGTGAATGATCTTTAATAGAAATACATTATATCTTGATTATTGAATGATTGGTGTTGATTGCATATAAATTCAAAAAAATTCGTGTTTAACACTAAAAAATAAAAAGAATATGGTGTTTCAATATTCATCACGTACTTGGATATACATTTATTTAATCGAACAACGAATCATTTGCACTAGAAATAAAGATACATTGAAAATACTATTGCATGCATTGCTTATTTTCATGCAAATGTCCATTTTTGTGGAACTCCTAACCTTCAATTAGTTGATAATGTCGATCATGCTACAATATAATCTTTTGATGATATTGTGGAAAAAAAATGTTTGTTATGCCCTTCATATCAATTTTATGAAGTTCATCTAGGTTCATTGGATTATTAGGAATATGTTAGCGTATGCCAAATTGTTTTATGACTCGATCAACTTAATGAAACTCTATATTTGTGAAACAAGAGATACAATAAAACGTGAAAAGGAAAAATTCAAACATTTTATTAGGAAACTTAGGCCACTTCTACAAAAATGAGTCTTATGGCAATTGAAATTGCGACGGGACGACGAACAAAATCTTAAGATTCAAAAATCAGGGTTTTGGAGTCGGCACCATAGTTTATTAAGGAAAACTATGGAAAACCATAAAGATAAGTTAAGGTCTATGAAATCCAAATTTGGGTTCGGGAGTCAGCTACTTGTAGGGAAGGTATTAGCACCCTATAATGTTCGTCCTAAGATAGTGACCCTTATGTAAATGTGCAAAATAAAGATGTCATTTTAAAAATATTTATTTCCCCAAAAAATCAAAAAACAAAGAAAGAAGAAGATTAAAGGAAAATGGAAAAGAGTGAACAAAAATATCTTTTGGTATTTTGGGCCCCGACAAGGATTAACCTTGCTCTTACGTATTCTCATTCAAAATGAGAAATCAGTTACGTAGTCCTTTGTAGAAAATGTTGTGCGTTGATTAAGGTTTTGAAATATTTTTGGTGTTTTTGAAAGAATTTTGTACACATTTTTTTGGGTTTTGAAGAAAATTATTTTTTTTGTTTTTGTTGTTTTTGAATACACATGATGACACATATGACCATACCCGTGTTTCAAAGGTTTATTTAAAATAAAGGACATGACAACACGAACAGTCATACCTATACCTCAAAATTCATTTAAAATAGAAAAGACAAAACGATGTACATAGTCGTACCTGTACCTCAAAATTTATTAAAGGGAGAGGACATGACGACATGATTCATACCCGTACCTCAAAATTTATTAAAGGGAAAGGACATGATGTCACAAACAATCTTACCCGTACCTCAAAATTCATTAAAAGGGAGAGGACATGACGACCGTTATAGTTACGAACGTCGTTTATTGGGGCTTCGATCGTCGGCTCCCCTGTCATCAAGTCACCAACTTCCTTAACCTTCCGGCACTGGGGAGGCGTCAGCCCCCATACATAGTCTTATGACTTTGCGGAGACCAGTGTCTTTGGTAAACAGTCGCCCCGACTTGGTCACTGCGACCCCCTTTGTGAGGAGGCACCCTTTCTCACGAAGTTACAGGGCTATTTTGTTGAGTTCCTTAGAGAGAGTTGTCTCACGCCCCTAGGTATTCTCTACCGACCCACCTGTGTCGATTTTGGGTACAGGTACCCATTTGTTGAAGGTCGTTCGAGCTTTTCCTAGGAGTATGACATAGACTACTTCAGCGTTGTAGCGTCTAGTACTCGAATTTTGGCTTGAGACATTTTCTCTACCCTTATTACCCTGAAAAAGCAGGGGCACCATGCGTCCTTGAACTGATAGCCATTTTTCGGCTAACCTAGCCTCCTCCGTCCCTCGGGACTAACAAACGGTAGTACAGAAATATTCACCTATTGTCCATTGACTATGCCTTTTGTCCTGATCTTAGGCCCTGACTCACCCTCCGTGGACGAACCTTACGAAGAAATCCTTGGGTTTTCGAGGCATTGGATTCTCACCAACGTTTGCGTTACTCAAGCCGACATTTTCGCTTCCCCTTTATTCCAAAACTGCTCAAAATAAGATTCATTTAATGAAAAGTTGTTTGAATACTTTATGCAATTGAAGATGCTCAACATAGTAAGCTACTTAATTATTTTTATAGTTGCTTCATTAAGGAAAGAAAATGATTTTTTTAAAAAAATTATGAAAAAAAAATTGTTTTAGTAAAATCAACCATGAGTTGCGTAAGATAATGGATGCAACAAATTCATATTTTACATTTTTCAAAATAAGAAACAACTTATATGAGTTGCTTTCATTGAAAATTTCTTAATAAAAATACATACACATCTTTATTGTATTTTTTATTTTAATTTATTAAATTTTAATTTATATTAATTTTAAAATATGAATATTTATTCTTAAAATTATGCAAACAATCATATTCGTACCTCAAAATTCATTAAAATAGAGAAGACATGACGATGTGAATAGTTGTACCCGTACCTCAAAATTCATTAAAAGGGAGAGGACATGACGACGTGAGCGAATGTACCCGTACCTCAAAATTCATTAAAAGGGAGAGGACATGACGATGTAAGCAGTTGTACTCATACCTCAAAATTCATTAAAAGGGAGAGGACATGACTTTTTGCGTGGTATGTGGTTCATGTGTGATGCTGCAATGTTGTAGGTGACATCAATTGTCCTATGGCGGAGACCAGGTGGGTCAAGTCACAATCAAATCGTGACGCTTGGACTGTTATTCTTAAGTAAAAAATGTTTTACTTTGACTAATGGCTATAGCTTTTGGTCTAGTGATAAACGCTTGATTCTAACAATTGATATTAGAGCCAAAGTGACGAGTTCGATTCCTGGTGAACAATTGTTAAAGGAGAGATTATTTTGTATAATTGTTTCATGGCGGAGGCCTGGTGAGCCAAGCCAAGTCCCGTGGCTATTATTTTTGGGACAGTGGTGAGTGTTCGATCTTGCATTAACCTTTTGTGGATTGTTGCGTGTGTGTGCATGATTGTTGGGTTATATTGTAGAGTTTACTTTGACATTGCCTTTTGGTACCAGTTTAACTGAAAATTTTGAATAGCGTTTGAGTCGGGTTTTTTTTTGTAATCAACTCTGTTCTCCAATCATTTATAGTCTAGCTCATGTTTGCCATTTAGGTCCTTTCAAGATTAATGGAGTTCCATTGAGACGTGTCAACCAGTCCTATGTTATTGCCACATCAACCAAAGTAGATGTTTTTACTGTTAACATGGACAAATTTGATGACAAATACTTTCCAAAGGAGTCCCAGAAAAAGAAGAAGAAAGGAGAGGGCGAGTCTTTCATCGAGACAGAGAAGAAAGTGAGATATGTTAATTTTCTTATTATGCAACTTCCATGTTATTCTCACTTGTTTCTGTGTGTTCATCTTTTTATTATTACCATAAAGCAGAAAAAAAAATGTCCTGCCCCAGGCGAAGAAAGAGGACCAGAAAAATGTGGACTCTGCGTTGATAAAAACCATTGAGAGCATTCCTGACTTGAATGCTTATCTGGGTGCCAGGTTTTCCTAAAGGCTGGTGCGAAACTCATGAGCTAGTCTTTTAGAGGAAAGGATATTACTCTTGTTTTTTTTGTTTTTTATGCTGGTCTTATTAATATGCATTCAACTTATTTTTGTGTTGTGAGGCCCTTATTTCTTACTACAGTCTTGACCCTTTCAAGCGTTTGTGTTGATTGTATGAATTCTAGATATTATATTGTTATTTTCGTCTTAGCATGCTAATAGAAGAATATTAGAAACAGACACGTAGATAATCATGTTTTAGTTAGGGGTTGGACACCAAAGTTAGTGTCTTGAATATATCCCCATGGAGGTAATCTCTTTAGTCGAATACTTTTGAGTTTATCCAAAAATAAAGAAATGCTATCTTATGTGTAGGTCATTCATGTCATCTGCGGGTGATTGTACCTCGGTTATATAAAGTCATTTTTTGGATGTACTTTACTATGCTATAATGTACACATTTTTATAATTATAATTTGATAAATTCGCAGGAATAATTCTTAATTTTTTAAAATTTTGTGGTGTTAAGATAGTGTTTTGAAGATCATTATGATTATCATACTAATTTTTCACATAACCTAATCAATTTAATATTTTCTTAACATACTGATATTTTAGCTTATTTGAAAGGTTATTTGGGACCATTTTTAAAGAATCAAAACATAACTCCTGAAATACTACTATGAGTGTGAGGTTCTATTATGCATAACTTTATACAATAGTTTGACTTCCGGATTAGGTCAGTTAATAGGTCAATTTGGAATGTTTTTCTCCCTTCCAGGTCGACAATTCTGGATCATATAGTCTGAAAGATCAAAATGTGCAGAAAAAATGTTTGAGGTTCAAGAAGTAACTGTCTGTGGTACTTGTTTGGAATTTGATTGTTTGATATCCTATGGAAATATCATGTTTGAAATTGGGATAATTTAAAATTCCACGTTTGAAATATAGTGATAATGTAGTATTGAAATACGTTTAGATATAATAGATTAAAATTCCACAATTCTAATGCAATAAAATAAATTTTATGATTGAAATTTTACCCTGATAAAGAAGCTTCATGGGAAGAGTAGAAAACAATAAAAGATAATTGTTATGAGTTCAACCTTAATAGCAAGATTGATTCTACGTTATACAAGTAGGTGTTGACTATTTTTACGTGTTGATATTTATTAAATAACTGCCCCGATTTCTAGGAAGAGTGAATGCAGGGGTGCTAGTTTTTCGTCCACTATTCACATAGGATGTTAATCAGTTTATTTGTAAAGGCTTATAAAGTCATCTCCAGTATCTGAATAAATATGCAGTACACATTTTTGAATTGCATCAGTCAATATTGTTTAAGTTTTAACAATTGGTATCAGAGCTCCATAAAGGGGCCTGATACGGAGTAAGGAAAAGAGTGATATAGAGTGACAAAACAGTGTGAAGAGAGAGTGAGAAAAAGAGTGTGATATAAAGTGAGAAAACAGTGTGAAGAGTCATGTCTATCTCAGAAAAATTCGTTCAACCAGCTATTCCACGGTTCGATGGGCACTATGACTTCTGGTCCATGGCCATGGAAAATTTCTTACGTAGCAAAGAACTATGGTCACTTGTAGAAGATGGAATTCCAGCATTGAATGCGGCACCAACAAAGGCTCAAAGGAAAGCTACAACAGATGCGCATCTTAAAGATCTAAAAGTGAAGAATTTTCTATTTCGAGTCAATTGATCGAGAGATTACGGAAACAATTACGGACAAAGGTTCGTCACGAGGCAATTTGGAACTCTATGCAACAAAAGTATAAAGGCTCAACAAAGGGTTAAACGTGCTCAGCTCCAGGCTCTCCGACGTGAGTTTGAGCTCCTAACAATGAAGGACAGAGAGAAAGTCGACAGCTACCTTGGATGCATGCTGAGTGTTGTAAACAGAATTATGTGGTTAGCAAGATTCTCAGGTCTTTAACCTCAAAATTCAATTATGTGGTGTGTTCTATCGAGGAAGCCAATGACCTAAGCACTTTGAGTCTTGATGAACTCCATGGGAGTCTGCTCGTGCATGAACAACGAATGCAAGATTCTCAACCACCAGAAAAACAGGTACTGCAAGTCACGCAAGATGATCGGGCAAGTCGTGGACGTGGCAGAGGAGGTTGAGGACGAGGGAGAGGACGTGGACGACAACCTTTTAATAAAGCCCTTATTGAGTGTTTTCAGTGTCACAAACTGGGTCATTTCCAATACGAGTGACCTAGAGTAATGAGGCAAGCTCATTACGTGACATCTGAAGAAGCAACAACAACTGAGGATGAAATCTTGTTGGTTGCATATGAAGAGGTGAAACACTCGGTACAAATGGAAGAATAGTTTCTCGACTCAGGTTGTAGCAACCATATGACCGGTAATAAACTTTGGTTTACTGAAATACATGAGGAAGGACTACACAAAAGTGTCAAGCTTGGTAATGATACTACATTGGAGGTGACCGCTAAAGGGAGCATTCAGGTCCAGCTAAACAGCACTACTCATGTCATCTCAAACGTCTACTATGTTCCGCAACTTAAAACCAATCTTCTGAGTCTTGGACAATTACAAGAGAAAGGCCTTACGATTCTAATTCAACATGGATCATGCAAAATCTTTCATCCAGAGAGAGGGTTGATTATCCATAGCACCATGAGAGGAAATCGTATGTTTTATTTATCAGCTTCGATGTGTCCTCAGCAGCCCAAATGCTTTCAAGTTGAAGACTGTTCTGAGAAAGAAACACAATTATGGCACAGACGGTTCGGGCATCTTAATTTCAAGGGACTCCACACACTTGCTCAAAGACAAATGGTGATCGGGCTACCCTCACTAAAATTGTCCACAACTGTATGCACTACTTGTCTCATAGGCAAGCAACATCGAAACACCATACCAAAACAAAGCTCCTGGCGTGCATCAATGAAACTTCAATTGGTTCATGCTGATATATGTGGTCCCATTTCACCAACCTCAAATAGCTGCAAAAGGTACATACTAAGTTTTGTTGATGATTATTCACGAAAAACATGGATTTATTTTTTGCATGAAAAATCCGAGACTTTTAATGCATTTAAAAGTTTCAAAGCCAGTGTCGAAAAAGAAGCTGGAACTTACATTGTCTGTCTAAGGATTGATCGAGGAGGGGAGTTCACATCTAAAGCATTCTCAGAATTTTGTGACCAACAAGGCATTTCCAGACAACTCACAGCATCTTATACCCCTCAACAAAATGGGGTTGCAGAGCGCAAGAACCGCACCATTATGAATGCAGTAAGAGCTATACTTCATGAAAATCAGGTTCCTAAAACCTTCTGGCCTGAAGCAGTAAAATGGTGTGTTCATATTCAGAATAGGAGTCCCACAACTGCAGTTGAATACAAGACACCTGAAGAGGTATGGAGTGGAATCAAACCTTGTGTAGATTATTTTCACATATTTGGATGCATTGCACATGTTCATATTCCAGATCAGCAACGAAGGAAATTGGATGACAAGAGTCAACAATGTGTTCTCTTAGGTGTGAGTGATGAAACAAAATGTTACAAACTTTTTGATCCCATTACAAAGAAGGTGATAGTAAGCAAGGATGTGGTGTTCGAAGAAGATAAGCACTGGAATTGGGATGAAAGCAAAACAGAAAGTACATCTATTGCTCTTGATGTGGGAGATCAAGACGAAGACGACAATGAGGGTTCAACAGTACAACCCATAACAGCTGGAGACAACACAAATAATCCAGAAACAGAAATAGTTGAACCAGCCATGGATTCAGAATATAGTGACCCTCGAGATGAAGGGAGGGTAACAAGAACACGGAGACAACCTGCATGGTTAACGGATTATGAAACTAATCTGTTTGTAGAAGAAGAGAATCTACTAGCAATGGTGACAACCGACTCTGAGGATCCTTACACTTTTGAAGAAGCAAATGCAAGCCAACAATGGAGGGAAGCCATGGATGCAGAGATGAAATCCATTGAGAAGAACAACACGTGGGAACTAGTTGACCCACCTAATGGAGTGATACCCATAGGAGTGAAGTGGGTCTTCAAAACAAAGCTCAACGAAAGAGGGCAAGTAGAAAAATACAAAGCCAGGTTGGTGGCCAAAGGTTATGCTCAAACCTATGGCATCAACTACATGGAAGTTTTTGCCCCAGTCGCGACACTTGACACTGTGAGAGTGTTACTAGCTGTGGCTGCTCAGAATGCATGGGAAGTTTTTCAGCTTGATGTAAAGAGTGCATTTTTACATGGTGAAATTTCAGAAGAGATTTATGTTCAACAACCCACCGGGTTTATTAAAAGAGGTAGAGAAAGCCAAGTTTACAAACTTCGAAAAGCTTTATACGGGCTCAAACAAGCACCACGAGCCTGGTATAGTAAAATTGAAGCATATTTTATCAGAGAACGATTTGAACGTTGTGTTAGTGAGCACACTCTGTTCACAAAAAAGGCCAGAAACGGTATCTTGATTGTCAGTTTGTATGTGGACGATCTAATGTTTACTAGCAATAGTAAAGATATTTGCGAAGAGTTCAAAAGATCAATGCAATTGGAGTTTGATATGACAGATTTGGGAAGAATGCGATATTTCTTGGGAATAGAAGTTATTCAAAATGAAGCAAGCATCTTCATTTGTCAACGAAAGTATGCACGTGAGATACTAGCTCGATTCAATATGTTAGACAGCAATCCCGTACGTAATCCCATGGTACCAGGAACCATGCTATCCAAAGATGACGAGGGAATACCAGTAGATGCCACAAAGTTTAAGCAAATCATTGGTAGCCTCATGTATTTAACAACTACACGACCAGACTTAATGTTTGGAACACGCTTAGTTAGTAGATACATGGCCAACCCCAAGGAATCTCACTGGTCCGTAGTTAAACGGCTTCTCAGATATCTTAAGGGCACAATTGAATATGGTCTCTTCTATAAAAAAGGAAGAAAAACAAGTTTCACTGCATATAGTGACATCAACTATGCAGGAGATACAGATGATAGGAGAAGCACATCCGGAGCAGTATTCATGATAGGAACAACAACTGTATCATGGGCTTCGAAGAAACAACCTGTAGTAAGTCTGTCTACCATTGAGGCTGAATATATTTCTGCAGCATTTTGTGTTTGTCAATGCATTTGGCTTAAAAGAATTTTAGAGCAGCTTGGAATAGAAAAAACATAAGGTACTGAGATTTTATGTGACAATAATTCAACCATTCAACTGTCTAAAAATCCTGTCTTCCATGGCAGAAGCAAACACATTGCAGTACGATTTCACTTTCTCAGAGATTTAGTTAACGATGACGTAATTAAATTAAGATATTGTAGCACAACTGAGCAACTGGCCGACATAATGACAAAAGCCTTAAAACTGGATCAATTTGAGAAGATCAGACGTATGCTTGGAGTACTGGAGGCTACTGAAATAAGCTAAAAGCTTAAGGGAGGGATTGTTGACTATTTTTACGTGTTGATATTTATTAAATAACTGCCTCGATTTCTAGGAAGAGTGAATGCAAGGGTGCTAGTTTTTCGTCCACTATTCACATAGGTTGTTAATCAGTTTATTTATAAAGGCTTATAAAGCCATCTCCAGTATCTGAATAAATATGCAGTACACATTTTTGAATTGCATCAGTCAATATTGTTTGAGTTTTAACAGTAGGAAGACTAAGGCTATACACACGAGTCAACAACCTAAACCTAAAAGGGAATCAAGGAAATTTACATAAATGAAGTTTATAAGGAAAAATGAGTTTGTTAATAACAATTCGTTATTGATCATACTAAAAATTGGATAATAAAACTCTATGGAATTTCTTTTGAGATATTAATAAAAATTTGTTCAATTTCTTCTTTGTATTTATTTTTCTGTTTTGATTTTTTTTTTTTCGGTAAGCATCACAGTCTTAGTTGGATTAACCAAATTTTGAGCTACCATAGCAAATAATAGAGAGAGCATAATCACCAAAGGAAAATTAGGACTGAAAAAGAAATATTTGTTTTCAAATCAAGATCAATAGCCATGTATTTATCATCAAATTAACAGAGAAGCATAGCAGTTTTTACTCAGAATCTTCAGAAAATTAGACAAGATAGCACTTTCCATTATTAGGCTTTCACAC